TATATATTATATATATGCTATAATATATATATAGTTACATTAAGAATTTGGTAGTAAATAGATTTCGTATTTATTTAGCACTATATTTTATTGAAACGCTTCAAGTGCCTGTGGATATGCACGTATCATATGACTGTACATTGAGATGTAACTGTAATTTGTGGACTGTAAACTGTGATATACGTAGGCTACGTGACTGTAGCCTGAGATGCACGTACGTCACTATAGACTGATATGCACGTATCATGTGACTGTAGATTGAGATGTGCGTATGTGACTGCAGATTGAGATGCGCGTATATGACTGTAGGTTGAGATGTGCGTATGCGACTGTAGGTTGAGATGTGCGTATGTGACTGTAGGTTGAGATGTGCGTATATGACTGTAGGTTGAGATGTACTTATGTGACTGTAGGTTGAGATGTGCGTATCATATGTGACTGCAAAATTAAGATGCGCGTATGTAACTGTAAATTGAGATGTGCGTATGTGACTGTACGTTGAGATGTGCGTATGTGACTGCAGATTGAGATGTGCGTATGTGACTCAGACTGTAGACCGACTGTAGACCTTAGACTGTAGACTGTAGACTGTAGATGACTGTAGACCGTACGTGACTAAACTGAGATGTACCTACATATGTACGTGTGACTGTAGACTGATATACGTATGTGGAAGTGATAACAATGAATGCACGTTTATTGGTTCTTATAATTAGCTCCTCACTTATTGGTTCTTATAATTAGCTCCTCACTTATTGGTTCTTATAATTAGCTCCTCACTAGGCCTAGGCTACTTCTTTCTTCGGTGTCCGACATTGGGTTCTGCGCGCGCACCAAAACTGTGTAGGCCTACGGTTCCGGTCTATTGTTTAGTCTCTCATTTGATAAAAGCACAAAAATAAGCACACACCCCCCTCTAAAAGAGGAAACAATCATCCCTGTTACCTGTAGAAAACGGGTTGCCAACATATTCTCCCATCTCTCAAAACTCTTTTCCTTCCCTGCAGCATTCATGCACCATGCCTCGACGTCGAAGGACCATCACAGGGACTAGGACCCCTTCACAACAAACAGCTAATCTGCAAGGCATACGTAGTCGGCAAGATCAAGAGACCCAGCCAGAAACTGAATGCAGGTTGCAAAAACGTGCTACATACATGACACGCTATCGTCTCGCAAAAACAGGAGATAGTAGCACACCACCACTAGCCCTCCAGCAAAATGGACCACCTAATGTCATTAGAGGACAAGCTGCAACACACATGGTGCAGTACCTGGCCCGACAATTCCCGCTCCAAGTCCACCCTTTCTCGATAGGAACAATGACAACACCATGTTCGTTTTGTAATGCACTTCTGTTCCCAAACGAGAACCACAATTGCTGCCACAAAGGCAAAGTTCAATTACCACCATCGCCACCTTATCCAACTGAACTCAAAGACCTGTTTACAACAAGTACTCCACAAGCGCGTAATTTCAGAGCCAACATCCGCAATTACAATAGCTCCATGGCGTTTGCATCCTTCGGTGCCAACATTGTGACCCCACCAGGCCGTGGCCCTTATGCCTTCAGACTTCATGGACAAGTGTACCACAGGTCTGGCTCACTTCACCCTCCACAAGGTACTACACCATCCTTCAGCCAACTCTACATTTTAGACGCGGGCCAAGCACTACAAGCCAGGATGCAACAACCTGCCAATCAACAATGTCTTCCTGATGTCATGTCGCTCCTGCAAAGAGTCCTCCAAGAAACCAATCCATATGCCGCCTCCTACAAACACATGCAAGAGGTCGAGGCAGAACAACTTCGCCTAGCAGATGAGAATGGTACACCACCCCCAGCTGTAACCATGCACATATTGAGAGGCGGTGACCAACGCCGCTATAATGATCCGAGACAAGATGAGATAGCAGTTGTCTTTTCATCACCAGATGGCGCACCTCCACATAATAGGGACATTGTTGTGCATCCCAAAGATCAACCACCCCAGCGAATTAGTCACCTGTCATCCAACATCGACCCCATGGTTTACACCATCTTCTATCCATTCGGAGAATTAGGTTGGCAGTACCACATGCAACATTTACCGGTATACAATATGCCACAGTCGACTGGCCAAACATTCAACTCCGTGCGGAGCACGGGTATTTGCTATTAATTATATAATACAATTAAATATACAATTATACAGATGTACACATTAATGGTAAAGATGTGAAATCCACAGGAATATGCGTTCATTGCTATGCCACGCTTGTTTCCTTTTGCGATTTATAGAAAAGGAAAATATTCCTGCGTTTTGGTTATTGGTTCTGTTTATATTAATGAGTATAGCTGCTAAAGTTAAAAACTCAGATGCAATCGTGTCGTGGCAGTACACTAATGAAAATGAGTTCATTGGACAAGTAACAGTTTAATTAAACGTAGCCTTAATCATTCTAAGGGGTTGTTATTTTTAGCACACTATAAAATACCCCAATGTGTAGCTAGTAGCTTTCTAAAATTTTACTATCCTGACCAGTTAAAGCGAGGATTTCTCATGATTTTACAAACCTTTTTCATATTTTCTCAACCGTTCTGATACTCACCGGTACTCCTTGCATGATACGTCCTGATTGCATATTTATTTCAAGGATTTATTGTCTACATAGCAAAACAGAACATATCAGATGGTAAATATCCGCTTATGTTTCGCGTCGTGCTTTAACGATTTAACATAATATCACTAGCGAACACGCAGAAAAACGATTGAAAGAACATGCAAACCCCAATTTAAATGACACAGGTTTATTTCAGCTACACTCGGGTTGGTATTGAACGGTCACGCTATCGTAGGCGCACACTATATATACGTTTCAGATCAATAAATTATAGCCTATATATAGTTTCATGACAATCACCTTATGCGTTACATGAGCTGCGTGTCTGAGCACTTCAACAGTATAATATAATGACGCGTCTTTCTCATTGTACTATTATGGCCCAATCACCAATTTTAGAAATTCGAGTAAAGGGAGTAATTCATTGTGTTGTTCTGGCATATACTTTATTCGTGCGTGATTTTAAGCCCCCAACTAATATTGACATTTAGACATTAAAATCCCGAGTTTGTTTCATGCTAGAGAGCTTGTCATACACACACGTTGGTAAAAACAGCAGATAGTTGCCCACTATCAGCTGTTTTAACTGAATATTCTCTAACGATTTATGGCGTTATATTCCTCACAGAATTATAATTCCTTACGGCATTTAGAAAGAAAACTGAGCACATATAATGGTTTATCTCTTAGCATTGCCTCCACTATTTTATTAACAATGCTAAAATTAATTTCTGAGTAGGCATAATACTACCAATTTAAGGGTAACTGAAGGATTTCTAATATTATCTAAACGAATTTCTATAGAATTGTCGACATTTGAGTAGGGTTATACGACTAAATCCCAAACACAGTAAATATAACCACATACATAATACCAGTATTCACTACACGTCAATTGCTATGTTAGGACTATATGACGATCGTGCGTTATAATAACACGCTTCCTAAGAATAGTGCGTTTTTACTGTCAATACATTTGTGACGCGCGACAAACAGTTGTGGCGTTTATATTTTGAGGCAGAGAGATTTGCTAAGCAGATGAGAGAGAGATGGCTGTCCGGACGACGGCACAGAGGAGCGGAGAGGAAGAGAGAACGAGAATGAGACCACGGAGAGGGAGAGATGAGACGGGCTGCTAGAGACGAGGATCGGAGAGGAGAGGGCCCCCAACAGGAGAGGAGAGAGAGATGGGAGAGAGAAGAGAGAGAGAGGAGAGGAGCAGAGAGCCGGAGTTCCACGAGACTGAGGAGAAGGTCAGACGAGAAAGAGGAGGAGAGGCCAGAGAGGAGAGGAGAGACAGGAAGAAGGCTCATCTGAAGCATCATCTTATCTTCAAATGTATGCCACTATGAAACCCAACATTGCAGGTTATCTGGCGGATGTTAATGAATTTTTTTGTGCGCAAAAAATTTGGCGTAAAAATTCATGAAAGTTTGACGCTTTTTATGGATAAGCAAACATGACAAGTTTTCCTATCATTCACCGGCAAATGACCTCAAGGGTAGAGGCAAAAGCCAAAAATAACAGCAGACACAACGATGCCATGTTTTGGGCAGGGTGCGTGTGTCCGCTTAGGCGTATGTGCTCATAATGCTATGAATGCGAGATGAGGTTGTCAACACACACACACACACCACGCACACACACACACACACACACACACACACACACACACACACACACACACACACACACACACACACACACACATATATATATATTTCGTAACATGCATACATACGAAGTAAATCGACTGCTAGGAACTTCACATTCGCCGATGCTTACAGCTACTGACACATAATGCGAATTCCTCTCAAATAGGAAATATATAAGCGAAACTAGCCGTCAACACAATCAACACGCACGAATTCGCTCGACATCTAGACGAGATATCGTCTAACTATTCCCTAGCCAGTTCGTGTGTCACTTCGCGTGCAAGCGCAGAGTAAGTCAAAGTCAGCTAGTCATCAGAGCGCGAAATGCATTCAGGAGAGTGTTTGAAAATTTAGGCGAAACCGAAAACGTAACGGCGCGCGTTGCCCCCATAAGGCTAAGCTAATTTTCTCTCTTTGTCTCACTCTCTCTCTCGCTATCTCTTTTAGTCTCTATTTGCCTCTCTCTCTATCTCGCGCTCTTGCTCACGCGCTCTTTCAATTTCGCTATCTCACTCTCTTTTTCTCTCTCTGTCCCTTCTCTCTTTCTCATCCCATCATTCCCTTCTATCTAACTTCCTTTCTTTCTTTTAGTTTCTTAATTTTTCTCTATTACGTTTCTGTCTTCTTTCTCGCAGACTCTCACTCTCTCCTCCCATTTCTTTCTGTTAATTCTCCCCATATCTTCTTTCTCTTTTTCTCTCACCTGAACTCTCTCTCGTTCCCCCATCCTCTCTCACTCCATGTTTATCGCTCACTCTTTCACTATATTTCTCAAGTATTATGCGCGTGTATCTAATCTCGTGTGGAAATCGCCTCATTTGCCGGAGCCATATGTCTCGCATTGTTATATCCTACCGATATTAATTGTCGTACGAAGTGTTTAAACACGCTAATCAACATTTTCGCCACAATCTTTAATAAGTATCGGTGACCGTTCCAACCATACACTGCTCCCACGAAACAACGCGCATGTGTAGGTGGGAGGCTGCAATATCTTGATTGCGGCAGTCTTCTAGACGTGACGTCATTTTCACGAAAAGAGGTTAGGTTGCGTAGGGTAGTGACGAGCGGCATTTCCTATATATATACATATTTGCGTGCGAGGGAAAAGTGTACGCGATACATTAGCTTGGAGGGGAACGAAGGCATCGGTACGCACGAACAGGAAAACTGCCAACTAAGGAAAACAGCCACCTCTTCTCCACACGGCAAGGTACGTTCAACTCGTTTTCGACAATTATTGGTAGCACTCCAAATGTGCGAAATACAAGAAGGTATAGATGTGTGTACGCGTGCGTGCGTGCGTACGCGCTCGCGTGTGTGTGAATGAGTAACAGTGTGTGTGTGTGTGTGTGTGTGTGTGTGTGTGCGCGCACGTGTGCGCGTGTGTGCACGTGCATGCGTGTGTATGTGTTTGTTAGTGAGTGCGCGCGCACGTGTGTGTTTGTTTTTGAGTGAGTGTGCGTGCCTGTGTGTGTCTGGGTGAGAGACAGAGAGAATTAGCAAGAGAGAGAGAGAGAGAGAGAGAGAGAGAGAGAGATGGAGAGAGAGAGAGAGAAAAAAAAAGAGAGAGAGTGAGAGAGAGAGAGAGCGAGAGAGCGAGAGAACGAGAAGTAGAGAGGAGAGAGGAGAGAGAGGGGAGAGGAGAGAGAGAGGAGGAGAGGAGAGGAGATGAGGAGGAGGAGAGAGAGAGAGGGATGTGGTGTGCGGCGCGCTTGTGGTCTGTGTGGTAAGTCAAACTGTATACAGGGAGAGAGAGAGAGAGAAAGAAGGACGAGAGAGAGAGAGAGGAGAGAGAGATGAGAGTGAGAGAGAGAGAGAGAGAGAGAGAGAGAGGAGGAGAGAGGGAAGAGAGAACGAGAGTAGAGAGAGAGAGAGAGAGAGAGAGAGAGAGAGAGCATGTGTGTGCGCGCGCTTGGGTGCGTCTGTGTGAGTAAGTAAAACGTATACAGGGAGAGAGAGAGAGAAAAGAGGGACAGAGAGAGATAGAGAGAGTGGAGAGAGAGAGAGAGAGAGAGGGAGAGAAAGCGAGAGAGAGAGAGTAGAGAGAGTGAGAGAGAGAGAGAGAGGGAGATAGGGAGGGAGGTAGTGAGAGAGAAAGAGAAAGAAATAAGGAAAACGGCATTGTGTCATTCTTTCACGTATTGCTATTCTACTAGTAATCTAAGATCTCGTGTTTCTTTTATTCTGATATTTTCTCGATTTATATTTTGGAATTTTATCTTTTATCTTCAATATTGTATAATCTCCCATTAGACCATATTACATTTCAATACGGTAGCATAATATACCTGATCGCTATAACGAAAACGGACGTGACATGAAGTAAACAATAATAAGTAACATGTGTGGGTATCCTACGCCCGTGGTTTCGTATTTGATTGTTTTCGTTTTGTTCCTATTATCATCGCATTATATATCCGCGTTAAGTAATAAATCCTCACGCCACAATTCTGATAATTATGCATAAAAAATAGTTCACACACATATATATATATATATATATAGATAGATATATCTATAGAGCCTACATATGCGTGTGCGAATGCGTATGCGTGCGTCCGTGATACGTCTATGTGTGCGCGTGTGCATGATGTGAGAGCGCGTGTGCGCGCATATGCATGTGAGCGCATGTGTTCGCGTGTGAGCGTATTTCTTTATGAAATCGCATGAGAAAGAGCACTTGCGTGCGTAATCGATCTAAAGTTATTTTGCGTGTATGCATGATATTTTCTCGATTTATATCCTACGATTTCTCAATATTGTATAATCTCTCATTAAACCTTAATATTATTACATATTAATGCGGTAGCAAATACGTGATCGCCATTACGAAAATGGACCTGAATATCTGACTCGAAATATTTTTCGAAGGCACAAGACGATTTCTCACTTATTCATTT